GACATTCTCTACAAAATATTCTCCCTACACTCTTCAAAAATGAAGTAGTCATGAATGACAAAACATAAAAAAAATGTTCCAAATTAAAGGAGCCTGGAGAAACATAACAAATCAATTAGCCTGATGTTAGTTTGGATCTTCACCAGAAAAAAATGGTTTTAAAAAGCCTTATTTTCACAACTGGCAAAGACGTTTAAAAGCCTATGGATTAAATAATATTTTATCAATGTGAACTTCCTGATTTTATAATTAAAATGTATTTACTAAGAATGTCCTTATTAGTAAAAGCACAATTATTATTTAGAATTAAAAGGGTATCATATCTGTGACTTATTCTAAAATGGTTTGGGGGCAGGGAGAAATAAATATACACAAATATAGGTATGTGTATATATTATACACACACACATAATCTAAGAGATGATATAATAAATGTGGCATAATGTCAACTGGGGAATCTGAATGATGACTTTAAGGGAGTTCTTGAACTATTCTTGTAACTTAAATTATTTCAGAACAAAGTTACTAAAACACTGTAAACTTTATAGATAACAAACGATTTCTTAAGACACAAAAAAACACAAATATAAAGGAAATAAGTAAATTTGACTAAATAGAAATATCCTGAAGAGAATAATAAACAAACCCAAACTGAAAGAAACTATTTGGAACACATATAACAATGGACTAGTATCTGGAATATAAAAAGAGTTCCTAAAAATAAGTAAGAAAGATGAGAAATTAAAATCAGAAATAGACAAAAGAATTGAAAATTCTTTAGAAAATTTATGAGAGGATGGCAAATAAACAAATATGTTCAACTTCATTAGTAATCAGGAAAATGCAAATGAAAATTACAATGTTAAAATACCATATATATATACCAGAATAGGAAGATGTAAGACATCCCACAATACATTTAAAAATTGGCAAATCACCTTTATAACAAAATGGTATTGTATAATGAAACTGAAGAAATACACGCTCTATGATCCAACAATTCTCCTCCTATGTAAGCTTTCCAAAAAAAACTCTTGTCCAGAAGACACACACAAGAATGGTCATAGTAGCCTCAAACTAAAAGCAACCCAAATGTCAACCAACAGTAAAACAAATAAACTATAGTAAACCCATCCATACTACAGACTTCTGGCCTTATTGAGAATGAATGAGAGATAGTCACATGTGTGAATACAGAGAAATCACAGAGTGAAAAAAATAAAGTCAAAAAAGAAAAATAGCATGATTCCACTTGTGCAAAGTTCTACATACAGGTGAAAAAAAAGGTTAAGTTGCATTTAGGGCTATATAATGAGTGGTTAAAAAAACTACAGAAAAGCAAAAGATAATAATCAAATTTGGGGATGTTGTTACCTTGGGACAAGGAGAATGAGAAAATAATTGATTAAGAGGGGTAACATAGCCGGGCGTGGTAGCGAGCGCCTGTAGTTCCAGTTACTTGGAAGGCTGAGGTGGAAGGATCTCCAGAGCCCAGGTCGAGGCTGCAGTGGCCGGGAGTGGCCACTGCACTCCAGTCTGGGCGACTGAGTGAGACTCCAACTCAAAAAAAAAAGAAAGTGGAGATATTACTACCAACCTTAGAGAAATTAAAAGTATTAAAAAAGAATACTATCAATGTGTGCACATCAACAAATTAATCTAGAAGAAAATTAACAAATTCCTAGAAAAACAAAGAAACTACAAAAATTAATCCAAGAAGAAATATAAAATTTGACAGGATCTATACCAAGTAAAGAGATTGAATCAGTAATTAAAAACCTCTCTACAACAAAAATTCTAGGACCAGGTGCTTTCATTGGTTAAATTCTCACAAACATTTAAAGACAAATTAACACCAACACTGCCCAAATTCTTCCAAAAAATATTGAAGAGAAGTAAATACTTTTTAACACATTCTATCATACCAGCATTATCTAGATATCAAAGAGACCAAGAGAAAGAAAAAGTAAAGACTAATATCCCTTATGGAAAAAGACAAAACAACCCAAAACAATTCTAGCAAATCAAATCCAACACTACAGTAAAAGGATTATACCACATTACCACACAGGATTCATCCTAGAAATTCAGGAGTGGTTCAATATAAGAAAGTAATCAATGTAATACAGCTTATTAATAGAATGAAGAGGGAAACCACATGACTATTTCAGTAGAGAAAAACCATTTGACAAAATTTAAAATGCTTTGATGATTTTTAAAATTCAGCGAACTAGGATTAGAAGACAAATTCTTTACTATCATAAAGGGCATTTACCAAAACCTCAAAGCTATCATTATACAGAGTGGCAAAAACCTGGAAATTTCTCCCCACATCAGGAACAAGATAAGGATGTTCACCACTTCCAACATTGTACTGGAATCCCTCGACAGAGCAAATAGGTAAGAAAATGCAATAAAAGGAATGCAATTATAAAGAAAGGAGTAAAATTATTTTTATTTTCAGATTCATGACTGTGTATAAAGAAAATTTTTTAAAATTGACATAAAACACTAGTAAATGAATGAATTAAACAAATTGTAGGACACAAGATCAGTGGTTTTGAGACATCAACAAATAATAATCCAAAAAGGAAAATAAGAAAATAATCATTTATAATAGCATCCAAAAGAATAAAATACCTAGGACTAAATTTAACCAAAGAGGTAAAAGAGATGTACACCAAAATCTCCACACACAAAAAAAAATTCCTAAAATAAATTAAAGAAGGCCTAGTTAAATGGAAAGAAATCCCGTGTTCGTGAACTGGAAAACCTATGTTGTTAAATGGTAATAGTCCCCAAAGAGATCTGCAAGTTTAATGAAATCTCTACCAAAATTTTAATAGCCTTTTTTGCTAAAATGGAAAAGCCAATTATAAAAGTAGAATTACAACACTATTGAAAAAGAAAAACAAAGTTACATACTTACACTCCTCAATTTCAAAACATATTACAAGCTACAGTAATTAATACAGTGTGGTACTAGCATAAGGATAGACATATGGGACCATGGAACCAACATTTATGGTCATTTGATTTTTGATAAGAGTAGTCAAAATGATCTTGATTATCCAGTGGGGAAAGAATAAGATCTTCAACAAATGGTGCTAGAACAATCAGATAACCATTTGCCAAAAAACTGTAATGGACCTTTATCTCACTTGATACAATAATTAATTCAAAATTAATCAGCAGACTAAATAGAAGAGCTAAACCATAAAACTCTTAGACAAAAACATAGGGAAAAATCTTCATGACCATTTATGTGCCTAATCCTGGCTTGTACCTCATATTTTAAAAATAAAATAAAGAGGAAAAAAAAATAGGGGTAACAGAGGGTGCTACTTTACTATGCATAAATATTTTATTTCTTAACCTGGGTGGCAATTACATGGGCATCTAAAAATATATTTACGTGTTATAAACCTCTCTATATGTACAATAAGTATAACTAAAAACAGGCACACAGTGCTTATGACTCAGCTCTAGAAACTATAAAGGGCAGCTTTAAAGAGAAAGAACAGCCAATGAGGTAGGATGAAAATAAGAAGAATGTGGTGTTTCTGAAGCCAAGAGAAAAAAAGAAGGGAACAGTGAACTGTATCAAATATTAGTGAGAGGCAAAGTAGAGAAACTTTCACACAACACATAAAGCATATTGTTCTTCTTTATGAATCACTTATCTTAGGGTTTAGACATTATTTTGCAATGACTAGGGATTTATTAATAACACAGTGAAAGAGTAACACAAAGAATATGAACATTCTATTTTATATTCAGAAACCAAAATTCTTAATTATATTTTTTAATGTCCTCCTCCCACAAAGAACATTAATTTCGTCAAGAGTATATATTCAATTATTGGAATAAGTGCAGTCTGACATTTGATAGCTAAGTTTTGGCAAACTTGAATTTGCCTCAATATATCTATCATTTGTTATTGAAGTGGTAATGACAAAGGTCTTTGGCTTTGCCAAATAAGATGTATAAGTTAGGGGCTAGTAACAAATATAAAACACAAAAATGTGGTCAAAAAGACCAAAATAAAAAATTTAACAATATTAGGAACATGAACTGAATCATTCAATTGAAGTTTTACATTATAAATAATAAAAAGCTTTTGCTTCAGAGTTAAAAACGATTTTCTAGAAAATTTTTGACAATCATTTGGCTGTCTTAATTATTTAATTTTCTCACCTTTAAAAAAGATGGATTAAATACTATTTAAAGTCCCAATTAACAACATTTTATGGTGATATTTGTGAAAGGAAAATCAATCACAAAGGGTAATAAAATGTAACACTTTATCTAAATAATAAATCATATCTCTGCAAACTGTAAAACCAAAAAGTAGCATATATTAATCTAATAATGTATTCAAATTGAACCACCTATTCCTTTTTCCTTTATGTAAAGGTTTACTTTAAATAAAAGATGAGGAAAGCTCTTCAAAGCTACATTTGCAAAGATAATTTAGAAGGCTACATTTTTATTAATGCAAAATACAACTTCATACAAACTTATATAGTTAGAAGTTCTAATGTTTAAGACACAAAATAAACCCTCTTCTTTGACTAAAGGAAGAATACACCATTAATTTAGGTTTCTGATTTAAAACATCATTACTTAAAAAGGGATAAGTAGTTTTCTCAAGAGCATATATGTCAACAATCTGTTGGCTATAAGCTAGCATATTTAAAACAATGTTAATACATAAGACTATTAATTTGAAGTAAATGGTTATTGGACTGTAAAGAATAAGTGATATTAATATTAGAAAATAAATCTGTAACTCCATGTCAGAGACCTGGTAGCTTTGCCAACTAATAGAACCTCCTTATACTAAGATTTAATAGAACACTTTGTTCCATGACTCCTGCTTTGCTGTAGAAAAACTGAGAGAATCCAAGAAGAAAAAGGCTAATTGACATACATGGATTAATAAATGAAACTTGTAACTCCAGAAAACTTGCTCTGTGACCCAAAATGGAACTACTCACCAAAAGCAGCAGCCATAGGGGGTTCAAGGGATGGCTGGCCATCACCAGTAGGAAGGTCTAAGCGAGTGAAGTCTCTGCTTTTGTCATTATTATATTTCACATTAAGGCTGGTGAGCTTGGAGAAGTCAATACGTAGAGTGCAGCATGCATTATAGATATTCTGGCCATCCAGAGCCTAAAGCATGTAAGAAAGGGACTGTTTTTGGCAAGACAACAACACTGATAAATCAAGATGCCTCTACTTTGACACAGAGTGGCAATCAGGTATAAAGCAGAGAGTACTGGACTAAAAGCCAAGGTCTTGGGTTTACTTTTACCTCTGTCACTAACTGTGAGCCTAAGAGAGTAAAAAAGACCTCAAGTCTTAGTTTTTATCCATAAAATAAAACTAATAATATCCATCTCATCTGTGATAAGATCAGAGAGAAGAAATATAAAACCCTGGAAAGCGATTATATAATTATAGAAGTACTAGCTCTTTATTATGATTATTTTGCCTATAGCAAATGTTTAAAGATACTTTCATTTTACATTTCTTTTGAGTAAGAGTCTCACTCTGTCGCCCAGGCTGGAGTGCAGTGGCACACTTGTGGTGATTGCAGCCTCAACCTGCTGGGCTCACGTGATCCTTCCACCTCAGTCTTCCAAGTATTTGGAAACACAGGCACATGCCACCAAGCCTGGCTAATTTTTTTGATTTACTGTAGAGACAAGGTCTTGCCAAGTTGCCCAGACTGGTCTCGAGCCCCTGAACTCAGGCAATCCTCTCGCCTCTACCTTCCAAAGTGCTGGGATGACAGGTGTGAGCCACTGTGCCTGGCTATTTTACATTTCATTTTAATTCATGTAGTATAATTTACATAGGATGCAACAAAGCCTTTCTAAATGGCACTTGTCAGAGTCACAATATATAAAATATTATCTACGATTTATTTTTTCCTCCGGTAAATGTAATTGTAGTACCTTGAATAACAAGCTGAGGGAAATTTTGAGTCAGTTGTGACCAAAGATCAGCAACTCCTTCCTTGGAAAGAATAAAAATTTACCAAAGGATATTTGTGGTCACTTATGACTTTCAAAAAGGTTTGAATTCATAAAAATATAAGCCAGAAACCAAAGCACATAAAAATAAAACAAATATAAACAAAAAACTCTACTGATTCATAATATCGGTCACTGACAAGTATGCCATCATACAGGTACAAAATAATATATGCAGATAGAGGGTATAGTAAAGGCTACATTCCCAATCAAGTGCAAGATACTGTGTGGTACACAAAAGTACTACAAATCTTAGTCTCTAACTTTGAGCAGAAGTTAGAAATCATACAGATACTGCTACAAGACTACATTAGGGTTTAAGATAGATGTCAATAGGAGCTGTGTCTAATATAACCAAACTGAATGAAGTTTTTTGTATCTTGTCAAAAAGTGAAGTATTCCTATACTTTAAAAAAGATGACTTGAATCCACAGCAGCATATTTCTGAAGATTTAATGTCTTCACCAATTTAGAGCTCAACAGGAATGAACAACAATATATTTGCAAAAATAGTGAACTCAATTTTTGGATGACTTAACAATAGCAAATGAAGACACAAGAATAAAGATTCTTCTATTTTATTAGTCAAATTACATCAGGAGTACTATGTTCAACTTTAGACCTAATATGACAAACAGGAATGAGTTTCAGAGATCTGAGAGGTGATAAAAAATTTGAAACTATTTCTCATGAAGAAAGAACAATTTTTTAGCTTAAGAAAAAGAACACAAGAAATTATACTAAACTGAAAAAGGATTAAGATGGTAAATATTATGTTATATGTATTTTACCACAATTTTAAAAAGCACATGGTAAATTGAAGCAAGAGAGAAAATATGATGGTTTCCTTCAGGCATTACTGAAGTAAATAACAATTGAAAAATTTAAAAAAGATCATAGTTACCATTTTGGCATAATGTGCATTTACTGGGTCAGCATACTGAAGCAAGGCTTGAAACTGATTATTCTTTGTAAAGGTGATAATCTTCAAGACCGTGCCAAATTTAGAAAATATCTGGAAAACAGTTCACATTAGGTTAAGTCTAAGAAAAATATTCAACTAATGTATCTTTATAAATACAACTTGGTCCACAAATCTTATTTTTAAATGAAAATAATTTTCCCTATAAAACTGTTGGTACTTCAATTAAGCCTAAAATGTTAATGCTTCAATATTCATACATATCTTAGAACAATGCCTGGCACTCAAATATTTAGCCTATTTTATAGCATGTATAAACGGCACAATACTAAAACAGAAGGCTACAACAGAAATTAATTGATGGTATGAAATAATGGTGTTACAAAGCATATAAATAAAAGTGGGAGAGTCATATGGACAAATTACTTTACCCTGTGATTAAGCATCTACTTCCTGAGATTTGTGTATATAGAGAAACTAGATGATCAACTAGAGGCTGTTTTTTTTTCTTTCTTTTTCTTTTGAGTCTCACTCTGTTGCCCAGGCTGGAGTGCAGTGGCATGCTCATGGTCACAGCAGCTTCAACCTGCTGGGCTCAGATGATCCTTCTACCTCAGCCTTCCACATAGCTGAAACTACAAGTACACACCACCTCACCCAGTTAATTTTTTGATTTAGTGTAGAGATGACATCTGACCAAGTTGCCCGGGCTGGTCTTGAACCCATGGGCTCAGGCAATCCTCTCACCTTGGCCTCCCAAAGTGCTGGGATTATAGGAGTGAGCTACCCCGCCCAGCGAGGCTACTCTTTTAATCAAATATTCACAGAACACTGTTCTAAGCACAGCAAGTCAGCAGTGGACAAAAAAGAATAAAGGTCTAGGCCTTTATGAAGACAGACAATAAACCAGTAAGTAAACAAATGTCCAAGTTGGCATAGCACACAGGTGGTCAAGGAAGGCCTCTCTAAAGTGTCTTTTGAGAAGAGGAACACAGTGAGGGGAAGGTTTTTTGACAGATGTAGTCAGAAATGCTGTCACCGATGCTCTCATAGTACTTGTTCCACCTCAGGACCACAAAGGTTCATGGCCACAGTTGCTAGTAACTCATTTCTGAAAGACTAACCAGGGAGGATAAAACAATAATACATTTTGTTTTTCTCTGTCACTTCATTTTAAATTTGGATTTGTTTTTTTTTTTTTGAGTTGGAGTCTCACTCTGTCGCCCAGACTGGATGGAGTTCAGTGGCACGCTCCTGGCCACCACAGCCTCGACCTGCTGGGCTCCGGTGATCCTTCTGCCTCAGCCTTCCAAGTAGCTGGAACTACAGGCACATGCTACCATGCCCGGCTAATTTTTGATTTATTGTAGAGATAAGGTCTTGCCAAGTTGCCCGGGAGGGTCTCGAACCCACGGTCTCAGGCAATCCACTCACGTTCGCCTCCCAAAGCACTGGGATTACAGGCTGAGCCACTGAGCCCGGCTAAATTTGGAACTTAATGAACCAGAAATTTATTCCTGCATCGGAAAATCAAAAACTAAGTAGTGGTAATTTGTCCTTAATAGGCAATTGGTTCTGTTTTTAATTATGAAAAAGAATGCTCAAGAATAACGATCCTAAAGCACAAGCAACAAAAGAAAAAAAAAACAGATAAACTGGACTACTTCAAACTTTTGTGCGTCAAAGGACATTTTCAGCAGAGTGAAAAGGCTACCCACAGAAAGGGACATAATATTTGTAAATCATGTATCTGATAAGAGGTTAATATTCAGAATATATAAAGAACTTTGACAACTCAACAACAAAAACAATGCAACTTAAAAACAGGCAAAGAACTTGAAAAGAATTTCTCCAAAGATAATAAAATGGCCAATAAGCATACAAAAAGATGTTCAACATCACTAATCATTAGGGAAATGCAAAACAAAACTACATTATCACTGCACACCGCCTAGCATAGCTATTATTTTTTAAAAACCCATAAAATTACAAGTGTTGGAGAAGATATGGAGAAAATGGAACCTTTGTGTACTGCTAGTGGGAATATAAAGTGTTGCAGCCACTATGCAAAACAATATGATCTTTCCTTAAAAAACTAACAACAGAACTACCATATGATCCAGCAGTTCCACTTCTGGGTATATACCCAAAGAATTGAAAGCAGAGACTCAAAGATGTATTTGTATACCCATGTTCATAGCAGTATTATTCACAACAGCCAAAAAAAGGAAGCAATTCAAGTGTTCATCAATGAATGAATGGATAAATTTGGTATATACAAACAACTGAATATTATTCAGTCCCCAAAGGAAAGGAAATTCTGAACATGAATGAATCTTCAGGACATCTTTCCAAATAAAATAAGCCAGTCACAAAAGAACTAATATTGCATGATTCCACTTACCTGAGGAACCTAGAACAGTCAAATTCATAGAGAAAGAAAGTAGACCAGTTAATATTCTTTATTACCTTCCTAGTATCCAAGGGTGAAATCCAAGCTCCTTCATGTAACATATACAATCTCACCCTAGTTTACCTCTGCAACCTCATCTCCTGACACTTCTTTTTATCACACTACTATATTTACATAAACAATATGTAGTTGTCTACAGTTCTCCAATATATCAAGTGATTTCAGACCTCTATGCCCATATATGGGGACTTTTCCTTTTCCTTGAACTCTATGTTTCATGCAGTAAATTTTCATTAACTATTTCGAAAACTCAGTTCAGAGAGCAAAGCTACCATAAAATTATTAGCCTCGCTCAAATCCCAACAGAGTTAATTCTTCTTCCCAAGTATTATCCCTTCTTGGCCACATGTAAATATTTATTTTGCTGTGGTACTTCTACTCTCTATTTATTAATTTATCTACCTGTCTCTCTTAATTAGACTAAAGGCTCCTTGAAGAAATATACCTTGGATGTCATTTTTAGATAATCATTTTTGTATCATTAAGTACAATTCCTGGCATGTAAGAGATAAAGAGTAAAATGCTTATGATTAAATGATAAAGAATTAAACCCTGAAACCTGGTTGGAGAATTATGGCAATGTTCATTTTTTAATAATAACAACAAACATTCTTGATGTAAAATATCTCATTAGTGAAGAAACAGGAACATATAATTTGATCTAAAATTTAAAATAATTTTATATGAAATTATGCTATAAAACCTAGTTAATATCTTCCACTTAACTTTCAGATCCTGGGTGTTTTGTTTTTTTTTTGAGTTGGAGTCTCACTCTGTCACCCAGACTGGAGTGCAGTGGCCGCTCCTGGCCACCGCAGCCTCAACCTGCTGGGCTCTGGCGATCCTTCCGCCTCAGCCTTCCAAGTAGCCAGAATTATAGGCATGCGCTACCACGCCCGGCTGATTTTTTGATTTATTGTAGAGATGAGGTCTCACTGCCCAGGCGGGTCTTGAACGCACGGGCACAGGCAATCCACTCACCTCAGCCTCCCAAAAGCGCGAGATTACAGGCTGAGCCACTGAGCCCAGCTTTTTTTTTTTTTTTTCCAGACTCCCCTCTGTTGTCCAGGCTGGAGTGCAGTGGCATGCTCACAGCTACTGCAGCCTCAACCTGCTGGGCTCAAGTGATGCTTCTGCCTCAGCCTTCCAAGTAGCTGGGACTACAGGCACACGTCGTCAGGTCCAGCTAATTTTTAATAATTTTATTGTAGAGATGAGGTCTCGCCATGTTGCCCAGGCTGGTCTCGAACTCCTGGGCTCAGGCAATTCTCTCGCCTTGGCCTCCCAAGGTGCTAGGATTATAGGCATGAGTACCCATCCTGGCCTTAGATTTTGCTAATGTTTAGATTCTTTCTCTCATTTAACTTCTACAATGCCCTGAAGCACATCCTCACTGAAAGAGTGATTTTTGGCTATGTAAAATTTTTTTTTTTTGAGTTGGAGTCTCACTCTGTCACCCAGACTGGAGTGCAGTGGCCGCTCCCGGCCACCGCAGCCTCGACCTGCTGGGCTCCGGTGATCCTTCCACCTCAGCCTTCCAAGTAGCCGGAATTACAGGCATGTGCTACCACGCCCGGGCTGATTTTTTAATTTTTATTGTAGAGATGAGGTCTCGCTGCCCAGGCGGGTCTCGAACCCGCGGGCTCAGGCAATCCACTCACCTCAGCCTCCCAAAGGCGTGGGACTACAGGCTGAGCCACCAAGCCCGTGTAATTTTTATCTAAGTGTGCTAAGAAAATAGAAACTGACTGAACTGGCTAACTATGGATAGCTCTATAGAGTCTCCTGGATTATATTCAACTGAGAGGGAGCTACAAAGAAAAATCTGCTACTTCTGAATAAAGTAAGTGAGCACCAAGATCAGGGAATACAGGAATGCCTTAAGTGTGATTTTTAACATCTTTTCATAATGATCAAGATAGTAAATTTTAAACAGATGTGGTCTCAAAAAAATTAAAATTCAGAAGTTTAATACATGAATTTATTTGTATTAATTATATAAGGTCTTTGACTCTATTTCCCAAATATATTTTGCTGTCACAAATACAGAAAAATACATAGACTCAACCCTAGATGTCTCCCATGCATTTTAATCTTTTCATACTGTAAAATAGAAATAGAAAGAGAATAAAGATCAAATTCTGGTAAAATTAACGTTCAGGGTGATTTTTTTTTTTTTACGCACAGTCTCACTCTGTCACCCAGGCTGGAGTGCAGTGGCACGCTCGGGGCCACCGCAGCACAGACCTGCTGGGCTCAGGCAATCCTTCCACCTCAGCCTTTCAAGTAGCTGAACTACAGCCACATGCCACCACGCCCAGCTAATTTTTTGATTTATTGTAGAGACAAGGTCTCGCTAAGTTGCTCAGGCTGGTCTCCGAACTCCTGAGCTCAGGCAATCCTCTTGGCCTCTACCTCCCGAAGTGCTGTGATTATAGATGTGAGCCACTGTGCCCGGCTCAGGGTGATTTTTAAAAAGGCAGAATTTGCCAGAAAATAAAAATGTTTCCTAATATTCACTTGCAAAAAGTATATTCATATTAGAATCACTTATTTTAACAACAAGCACATTGGTCACAACTTGTTAATAAAAGTTTTTATAGCCAACAAAATAGTAAGA